GTTCAAGCGATTCTCCTGCTTCAGCCTCCCAAGTAGCTGGGATTACAGGCGCCTGCCACTAAGCCCGGCTAATTTTTGTATTTTTAGTAGAGGCGCAGTTTCACCACGTTGCCCAGGCTGGTCTCAAACTCCTGACCTCACGTAATCCGCCCGCCTTGGCCTCCCAAAGTGCTGGGATTACAGGCATGAGCCCCCACGCCTGGCCCATATTTTTCATTCTTAAATTGATTAGGCTTTGTGTTTCTGGATGTCCAAAGTCAACCAAAAAACCCCGAGGATGCTAGCTAGATGCTCAGAAGGCATCCAGCATGCGTGGCTCTTTTGTAGCAGATGGCCTGACAGACCCTGTGCCAATCAACCTTGGCCTTGAGGCCTCAAGAAGTACTTAAGCGCCCACTACACGTCTCCTCTTTCCCCCCATGCGGGGTGAGATGGCCCGGGAATGAGCCTTCCCAGCAGAAAAACTTACATCTAGAATGTCAGTCATCACTGCTTTGAGAAGAGAAAGATTTTGATCAAACACAAGAAATGAGAAAAGAAAAATAGCCTAGAGCATCCTGAGCTATGTGGGGTACCCAAAGATTATCTGGTCCAGAGACACCTGAGCACAGGGCCTCAGTCCCGCCTCCCCACCCACGCCTGGGGCAACTGCTGGAAGGCATTTTGTTCTTTTCTTTCCTATATTGTCCGCCTGGCCGCCTCAGCGTCATCTTCATGTTCCTGGAATTTGTGACACAAATAATAATGCACACCAATCAATAGCTTATGTTATTTGAGTGCAAATTCTTGGTGAACTTAGGAGCTGCGTCGTTTTTCCTTTAAAAACGCACTTGTAAACTGCTGCGAATGAGAGCGCGTGCATTCAGACCAACTTGAGTCTGTGCTTCCACGCTGCAGTCCTCAAACTTGGCCCCAACAAACTCTATTTCTATTCGTTTTGCCTGTTTTCTCCTTTAGGTTGAAAAGCTGACAGCGGGCCCCAGACGCTGAGGGGGCGCCTTCCCAGCTTGACTTCCCGCCCCTCCCCACCTGTCCCGTCCCCTGCCCCTCTTCAGGGCCTGTTCACTGGCAGTCGGGGCTGTGGACCAGTTCAGCCATCCCTCCCCACCCCACCAGGGCGCTGCGGCCTTACTCCTACGTCCACGAGCAGGCTCAGCCCCTCCTGGCAGCCGGGTGACCTCAGCTACCCCTCTGGCCCCAACTCCACCGCACAACGCAGACTGCGGGACCCCAGGCCTGGACCCCTGGCCCCGTCCCGCCCGCGCAGGTCGGGGGAGCTCCGCTCGGGCAGCTCTCGGGGTGCTGCTGGGAGGCCGCGCAGAACTGCAGGTGGCTAGGTTCGCGAAGCGCCGAGAATGGGGTCTGTGGCCTCCTGCCCGCACCTGAGTTCCTCCGCCCCAGCCTGCGGCGTCTGCAGGTCCCGCTCCGCGCCGAGCCCCCGCTGCACCTGTCTCTTATACACATCTAGATGTGTATAAGAGACAGGCGGTCGCAGAGGGCGGCCCCTGCAGGGTCTTTGGGTGCCCTTCCCCTCAGAGCTTCCTGCCGGGGAGAGGGAGTTCGCTCCCATTTTACAGATAAGGAGCTTGAGGCCGGGTGGGGAGGACGCGACTCCCCCAAGGTCATGGCAGCCGAAATGCGGCTGGAAGCCGTGTGGGGCCTCGCTGCCCTGTCCCTGCTCTCAGAGCGCCCGGACGCTAGCCAGGAAGGGCTCTTGCTGGGGCCCTGGGAAGAGGGGGGCCTAGGGCCCGGTGCTGGAACGTGGGACTTCCCTTCCGCCTTCCCCTCCCCCGTGCGGGGCCTGGTCTGCGGGGCAGCTCCCTGGCAGAATCTGCCCACCTTGGCTTCAGCAGGTCAGCGTGGGCAGGGTCCTTCCCAGCCCGGGCACCCCAAGGGTGCCCTGCCGTGTTTGGAGGCTTGTTCCAGGCGGTGGGGGTGGGTAGGGTGGTTGTCTTTACCGCAGGAAGCTTGGAAATAGGGAGAAGTAGAAAGCACCCGAGATGACCCCGGCTCCCCCACCCGGAGCGCGGCCCGGCGCGGCGTCTCCCAGGGCCTGGGAACCCCCCACCGCGCCGCTGACCCGCGCCCTCTGCCCGCAGCGCTGTGCTTCGCCGTGAGCCGCTCGCTGCTGCTGACGTGCCTGGTGCCGGCCGCACTGCTGGGCCTGCGCTACTACTACAGCCGCAAGGTGATCCGTGCCTACCTGGAGTGCGCGCTGCACACGGACATGGCGGACATCGAGCAGTACTACATGAAGCCGCCTGGTGAGTCCCGCTCCTGCCCCTCCCCGCCCTCCGCCCCAGACAGCCCTCGGGTGCACCCACTCCAGCAACCTCAGGGCAGATTTGGGCGAGGGCCAGCGTGGGTGGGCCTGGGCCGGGGCCCCTGTGACCTGAGCCTTCTGGGTGACCGAGGCCTCCAGTGTCAGCGGGGCTGGGGGAGGCAGAGCCGGCTCCTCCCGCTGAGTGACCTGAGCTGGCCCTGCGACGCAGTGGCTCCACCATTCCCTGCTCTGGATGCGTCTCCCTGGTGTCTGCTGCGGTGGGGCAAGGGCCGCTGGGCTCTGTGGGTCCTGTCTGGCGTGCCTTGGGGTTGCCTGCAGTGCCCGGCCCTGGGGGGAGGGGACTTGTGTGGCAGGGGCTGGGGGCCCTATTGGGGCACAGAGGATGGGGTGGCGGCAGGGGACCTGACCTTGAGCCTTGGCCTTCACTTCTGGCCTGATCTCTGGGCCACTTAGCTGGAGGGTTTTGTCCCAGCCCCTGTGGCCTTCTGTAGCTGGAGGGGCTGGGACTGGGCTCTAGGGGGGCGGGGGGTTGCTCTCCACCCCAGGCTGGCCCCCAGCCGCTGAGCCACACTGGTTCCCCCATGCCAGATGCCCCAGGGGCGAGGACTTTGCTCTCTGGGGTAGGAGGCTCTCTCAGATCCTGGAGGGTCTGTGGGCCAATGAGAGGGACAGAATGGGCCCAAAGGGTTGGGCAGGGTCTGTCAGGATCCCGGTCAGTGTCAGGGGAGGGGCAGCGGCTCCGGCATCGCTGGCTGCCATGCTCTACCCCCGCCCCACAGCCTTGGCACCTGCTGCTCTCCTTGACCCTTTCCTAAACCCAAACAGAGCATCTGAGCAACCCCTGAGCCCTGGCCAGCCTCTGCTTGGGAGGGGAAATGGGCCATGAGGAAGCACAGGCCACAGCAACAAAGGGGGCTCTGGTGGGCACACGGGGCATGGCCTTCTCCCTCTGGGCTGTGGCCTCCCTGGTGTGAGGGAGTGGAGGGGTAGCTGGGAGGGCTGCAGGAACACCCCATGAGGGCAGAGGTGGATAGCTGCTGATGGTCCATGCTGGATACCTTGGAGCTGCTTGGGCACATGGGCAAACCGAGTCCTGGAAGGAGTGAGGTGTGCCCAGAGCCACATGGTGCTGGGGGTTGTTATTCCTGGGATGGGCTTGATCTGTATCTGGTCTTGCATGGGTAGGTAGAGGCAGAACCCCTGGGTGGTGGGCAGGCCAGCTGGTGGGAGGGGTACTGGTCCAGGACCCGCTCCTTGGAGGTGGAGGTGTTGTGTAGGTAGGGAGATGGGGGGGTTGGGCGTGGGAGACCCCAGGGGCTCCAGGCCAGGGGGCCGAGAAGGGGCAGCCCTCCTGGGAACCCTGGAGCTGCACAGAGCTTGGAGGGCCGAGCTGCTCGGGCCTGTGGCACTGGCAGTGGTGCCCGGTGGCTCCCCCTGGGCTACTTCTCCTTGAAGGGCCCTCAGTACCCCCTTAACCGCCTGCCAGGCCTCAGCGTCCAGCACTGAAGGAGATGGAGGTCCCCCCCATGGAGCCAGCGGGCTGGTGGCTGCGCAGAGGGGCAATGGGGAGGGATGGGAGGGCTTCCTGGGGCTGGGGGCAGGTGCAGAGCCTCCTTGAGGAGGAGGCCGGAGGGGCCACAGGCAGCCTGTGTGGCTCTCCACTGGCCAACCCCTTGGTCTTCAGAGAGGTCCCTGGGTGTCACCTCTGCCTTTGGCTGCTGGAGGCGGCCGGGCTTCCCCTGTAGCCTGTGCCTGCAGGTTCCCTCCCACAACTGCCCCCACCTGCCCCTGCACCTCTCTCCTCCCCTGCCGGTTCCCCTCCCTGACGACCGCCACCTCCTGGCTTCATGCCTGACTTGAGGTGGGAATTGGGCTGTGCTGTGGAGGGGGTGGTGGCCTGGCCACTTGGCTTACTGCCAGGAGAGGCTGGGACCAGAGGGGCCACCCGCCGTCCCCCACTTGGATTTATAGGAAAGCGCCTCCTGGGCTGCAGGGAGCCTTCTGGACGCACTTTGCTGACCGCTGCCCCTCGCAGCCCTCTGGTGTGGGTGCTGGAGTTTGCCGTGATGGCCTGGGTGAACCTGGGTGGCCAGGAGCCACGGCAGTTTGGCTGCACCATGGCCTGTTCAGGGTGGCCCAGGCCATCGAGGCATTTGGGTCTGGAGTAGCTGGGCAGGGCAGGCGCCTGACTGGGCAAAGCCTACCCCAGCTGTTGGTCTCAGAGGAGGGACTCGGGCCTTTGACCACCAGTCTGAGCAGCGCAGCCTCCAGGCTTGAGTGGGTCCTGGCTATTGGGCTATTGGGTAACAGGTGTTGGGCTGGCTTTCTCTGCTTAAGGAGCTCTAGAGGGGGGCTCTACCTGCTTGTCCTGAATAGTGGCTGCCCCTCCCTTGGCTCCGGCAGAGCTAGGACCGGGGGGCTGCCGGGACTGGGTGTCCCACTGCCCTGACTTGGTGTCTGGCTAGAGGGGACCCCTACCAGCCCCTGGCCCTGTCTCACCCCAGAGGTGGAGGGGTCTCCCCAGCCTTCCTCACTGGGTGTCCCTGACCACCCTGTCCCCTGCAGGCTCCTGCTTCTGGGTGGCCGTGCTGGATGGCAACGTGGTGGGCATTGTGGCCGCACGGGCCCACGAGGAGGACAACACGGTGGAGCTGCTGCGGATGTCTGTGGACTCACGTTTCCGCGGCAAGGGCATCGCCAAGGCGCTGGGCCGGAAGGTGCTGGAGTTCGCCGTGGTGCACAACTACTCCGCGGTGGTGCTGGGCACGACAGCCGTCAAGGTGGCCGCCCACAAGCTGTACGAGTCTCTGGGCTTCAGACACATGGGCGCCAGTGACCACTACGTGCTGCCTGGCATGACCCTCTCGCTGGCCGAGCGCCTCTTCTTCCAGGTCCGTTACCACCGCTACCGCCTGCAGCTGCGCGAGGAGTGACCGCCAGCGCTCACCCGCCTGCCACCCCGGCCGCCCTGCCCGCCTGTGCCCGCCTGCCCGCCGCCCGGCGCGGCCTCTGCTTTCAGACGCCCACCTGGCGTTTGGGTTGGGATTTCCCTTTTCAACATCCTGCGGTTGTCTGGCTGGTTCTGGGGGGTGCAGGGCTGTTGCTCTTCCGCGACACTGGTGGGGGTGGGTCATTTGTCGCCACAGCCCCTTGCCCTTCCCCACCTGCCCGGGCGGCTTGCCACCTGAAGAGTGGCATCTTGGACCACCGCAGTTGTCCACGACGCTGCCCTGCCCGCCGCCACTGGGGAAGGCCCAGCCTTGCTCACCAAGCACAGAACCTCGCAACAGAGCCCGGGGCCAGGCTCTGGCCCCGCCTGCGGCCCCAGCGCCACTGCCCGTGGAGGCCCGAGCTGGCCATGGCGCTGCTTTGCTCCGCGCATGCCGAGGGTGTGGCCCGGCCGAGCATGCCGCATGCACACAGCCCTGCCCTGCCGCCCTGCCCGGAGACCCGGGCTGGTGAGCGCCCCTGTCCCTGGCTCCGAGCTGGCCATGGGAGGGCCTGTCCCTGCCCCCACCCCCTGGAGGGCCTGGTCTGCCCCGCGCCGCCCGGCTCTATCCACGCCTGCTTTGCTCTGATGCCCTCCTTTCCTCTGGCTCCGGCCCTTCCCCTGCCTGGGCTGGGCTGGCTGGTGTCATCACCGGGGTGGCTCCCATGGTGTCCGTGGCACCGCCGGGGTGGGGGTCCATGGGACCCCTCTCCCCAGTGCCCACTGGATCACGGTGGCCTCTCTCAGATTTCCCTGGGGACCTCCTGTCTCTGGCTGATGGTCCACCCTGTGAATCTTACCAGCCCAGGCTGCTGCCAACAGTGCCCAGCCCACAGCTTCTCCCAGCCTGAAACCAACCCATTTTCTAATAAGTTATTTAGACAGAATAGCACTCTGCATGACTTTAATTCTTGGGACAAAACGGTAGTTTGTACCGTAAGACACAGTTTCTGGCCCAGTGTGATGGGGGTGGGTGGCCGGGTGGGTGAAGCGTTCTGTTGTTGGAGACCTGGAGGGAAACCCTGACTGGGTGTCATTTCCCACCATGGAGCATGCCTCCCAGCCCTGGCCTGCAGGGTGGGCAGGGTGGGGGGCAAGGGAGTCCGCAGCCTCTGGGAGGAGGGGCAGGGCGCTGCCTTGGGCTGGGTGGGAAGAGGGTTGGCCGCCTCGGCTCCTGCTGGCCATGCTCCTGGTCTCTCCTTCCTGAGGTCACAGGCGGGGGTTGCCCTGGGTGGGGGGGTGGCCTGGAAGGGGAGACAGAGGAGGAGGGTGACACAGGTCGCACATCCAGCCTAGAGGCAGACCTGGCTTTGGTGGCAGGAGAAGAAGAAACACTTGCCCAGACCCCTTTGTGTAGGGAATTGGGGAGGGGGTGTGGCAGGCAGGTGGGCCACGGAACTGGGTCCCGGGCACCAAGGCCACGTGCAGGGCCACAGACGGATGCTCCTCACGAGGCTTCAGAAGTGAGCGAGGGGACGGAGAAGCCCCGCGTCCGAGGGCCTTTTGTCCCGTTAGCAATTGAGGTGTGCAGAGCACTGTACAGACCCCACTCCCCTGTACATTCTCCCTGGAGGTGCCCGGTCCCTGCTCGGGGATGGGAGTTTTGTAGACTGTACAGAAATCGGCACCCTATTTTCTTGCAGCTCAGATTTTGTTAATCTGGAATATACAGACAGACGTAAAGTGTTTTAGCAAAATGGAAACAAACAGTTGTGCCTTTTTCCTCTTTTGGTTTGGTTTGGGTTTGGCTGGGGGCAGGAGGGGCAGGGCGGGCCAGGTGCAGTCAGGTCTTGGGAGTGTCATGTCGGGGTGCCACCAGCTTCCCTTGGTCCTGTGCCTTTGGAGCCTTGGGCTCCTGGGGTTAAGGGCACTTGGGGCTGGCTGTTGGAGCCCACCAACGCCAGGGCAGGGGCTGGAGGCCCAGGGACTGCCAGTGTCTCGTTGATACTGACCTGAGCTGGGCTCATAGCAGCTCCCCCTCCTGGGGGTTCTGAGAGTTCTGGGCAGTGTGGCCCTCTCCCATTTTGGTGGCACCTGCGCCCCTGAGTGACCTCTTCCCTGGCTGCACTGCCCTGTGGGTGGTGGGACGCTTGGCCTTTCTTTGTTGCTGCCAGGACTTGGTAGAGATGGCAGGAAGGGTGTGCGGGGTGGTTGTATGCGGAACCCTGCCGCCCCTGAGGTGAGCAGAGGCACTGGTGTGCCTGCCAGGCTGGGGCGGAGCTGCCCGGAGCCCTCTCCAGGCCAATGTGCAGCTCAGTGGGGCCCTTGAAGGCCACTGGGGGGCAGATGTGTCCTCCCCCCGGGCTGGAGGCCAGGTGCCCTGGTGGGTGGCCTGCCCTGGGCCGCCTTGTCCCTCCAGCCCGGGATCTCACTGCTCTGCACGTGTGCACTGACGTGAATTTTATATGTTTGTAGAAACTGATGTAACTTCTTCTACCTCTGAAGCGCCCTCCTGGGCCCTGCTGTCATGTGGCTGGTGCGGCTTCCCCGAGTGCTGGCCCCTTGCCCGCTCCCCGTGGGCACCCACCACTCAGACTCTGCGTGGCGAGGCCCGGGGAAAGCCAGCCCGGGGCCCGGCACTGCGTAGGGGCCTGGGGCTCCTGGAATTTCTGTGTGTTTGGAAGCCTCTGTAGTGGGGAGGGTGTAAGGCGGGAGGGGCTGGCAGTGCCCGGGGCCAGAGCTGGGCGAAGGAGGACATCCTCGCTGGACGAGCAGTGCAGGCCTGACGAGAGGCTCCGGGCAGCTGAGGGCTGAGGCGCCTTGGGATGCCCCGCACTGCCCAGAGCCATGGGTCTTGCTGTACTGGGGATGGGGTGGCCCGTGCGACTGCCACCACCCAGGTGTGAGCCGCTGCAGACCTGGCTCCTGAGGGTGGGAGGCCTGCTTGTGCTGAAGCTGCCATTTGGTCTGGCCCCCAGAAGGGCTCCTGAGTGTAGGGAGTTGAGCCCCGCAGCCATGGTGGCGTCTCCCCCTCCTTCCTCCGCCCCATGCCCAGCCTTGCTTCCGGCTGGTGTCATGCCTTGGGGCCAGGCAGCAGCTGAGAAGCTGCCCCCGGAGGGAGGGACCGAGGGCTGAGTTAGTCTAGTGTGAGGGGTGGATGGCTGGCCCCGGGGAAAGGCTGGGTCTGGGAGGCCATGTGGACAGCAGGCCTGGGGCCACCCCTCTCCTGCTCTGGGTGTCCTTCTCAGAGAAGATGGCAGAAGGTTGCAGGCCCTAGAGGGGACGGGCTGGGGACGCCCTGAGCTTCCTGGCTGTGTGGTAGGTGCTGAGGAAGCTCTCTGGGCCATAAGGACCTGGCTCCCCTCTGAGAGGCCCACCTGCCCCGGGGCACCCAGGGCTGTGCCTGTGGCCTGAGGCCGGGAACTTGGTTTCCTGGGTTCTGCTGGCGCCTGGGATTTGTGGGGGCCAAAGGTGATTGCCCCGCCAGGCAGGGGGCTGTGTGGGCCCTCGTGGGGCCACCTTCTTGTCAGTGCCCGAGGGACGGTGGAACAGTTGCCCCTGCGCCGAGGGAGCCCACTGCCGTCCCCTATGAGCTGGCGCTGCAGCTGCGCACCCTGTATTGCCTGCTGACTTGCTTGTGTCTGTTTGGAAGCAGTTTCTGTTGGGCCACAGGCCTGTGTGCCTGGGCTAATGGCCGCAGAGCTGACACTTGGGGTTTGAGTTCCAGACTTGGCAGACCCTGGGATCCGCTTACTCCTCGGCGCCATGGCTGCTGTGCTTCCAATGGTGGCATGATGCCTCCTGGGGCCACAGCGGGGTGAAGGAGGGTGAGCCGGACATACCATTGTTGGATGTATTTTTTTTTTTAAAACAGCAATAATTAGCCATTTTAAAGGAGGGGTGTACCTGTGTGTGCATGTGCACGTGTTTGAGCATGTGTGTGTGTGTGTGCAAGTGGGTTCTTGATATGTGTAGTGTGAACATGTGTGCATGTGTATAGGTGTGCATGTGTGAGCGTGTGCACGTGTATGAGTGCATGTTGTGTATGTGCATAAGCATGTACACGTGTGAGCATGCATGTGTGCATGTGAGTGCACACGTGTGTACAGGTGTACATGTGCATGAGTTCTTGCGTACCTGCGTGAGCACGTGTATGATATACGTGTGTGGGTGTGTGCACATGTGTGAGTGTACATGTGTTTGTGTCAGGTATGCATGAGCGTGCACATGTATGAGTGTCCATGTGTATGCATGAGCACGTATACATGTGTGATGCACATGTTCCTGTGTACTTGTCTGAGGGGGCACATGTGTATGAATGGATGCGTGTGTACATATGCATATGGTGTATGTGTACTTGTGTATGCGTGGGCGTGTATGCGTGAGTCCTTGCGTGTGCTGGTGTATGTGTGGGCATGCACGTGTATGGATGTACATGTGAGGTGTACATGTAGTGTATATGTGTGTTGCATGAGCATGCACATGTGTGAGTGCCTGTGTGTGTACTTGCATATATGTGGCTGTGCAGGTACCTGGCGGTGGTGAGCTGGCAGTGCCCGGGGAAGCAGGTCCTACCCACCGATTCCCTGCTGGGCCCCCGGCCCTGGGCAGAGCCTCCCTGGCCCCTCTTGCCCCTCAGTGGGGCAGGGCCTCGGTGGACGGCCTGGGCAGCTCCAGGGCAGGTCCAGGGAGGCCAGGCTTGGGGAGCGCAGGGGGTGGGGTTCACCTGCTGCTGTTTGTTCCCGAAACTGTACTGTGAGCCCACGGCGGGGGCAGATTGTTCTGAGGCCCCAGATGTGCCAAAACAGCCCCCAGGGTGGGGGCAAGCGCGTTCTGAGGAGAGGGGCTGCGGGGGCCCGGGGTGGGTGTGTGCCCCTCCCCTGGATGGCCCCCAATGCTGCTGTTTTTCAATAAAACCAGAGTTGAAGGCACCTGGCTCCCGTGCTCTCTTGAGGCGCCTCCTGCCCACTGTGTGGCAGGGCTGGCTTTCAGGGATGTGGGCCCCCACCCTTCGTGCCCCAGTTTGGCCCCTGCCGCCTCCCCCTTCTCCCCTGGCCACCCCCTTTCCTCACCTTGGCTCCCGTACACCTGGCCAGGCTGCCCTGCAGCCAGCACTGCCCCCTGGAGGGAGTGTAATCTGGGAGGTGGGGCAGAGGGGCTTGGTGGCCTCATGGGCTGAGGCCCCTCCCCCAGCAGGCACCCAGCCGGGTGGGCTCTGCCCATTCACTCTCAGGCCCGGGATCCCCCTGAGCAGCTCCTGGGCTCTGCCCTCCCCCAGCTCTGTGCTTGGCCCTGGGCACTCTAACTCTTGGCAGAGAGCTTGGCCCCCAGCCCCTGCCCCCACACCATCCTTGCCACCCCAGTGGGACTCCCGGCCAGGCCCACCAGGCCCTGCTGCCCTGTCCTCCTGGGTCTGAGGTTCCCAGTTCCTGTGGTTATGCCCATCCTTGCCCTGGCAGCCCCAGCACCTGCCTGGCCCCTTGGAGGAACAGTGGTGCTGAGGGAGGGTGTGAGGTGAGTGGGCATTAGAGCCCACCAGGATGGGGGTGGACCCCCAGTGTCTGTGAGGGAGGATGCCAGGTCTGGGGTCCAGGCCGAGGGTGCTGCAGCTCAGGGCTGTGGTGGGGAGCAGGGTGTTGGGGGGGGTCTTGCAGACAGACATGGGGTGGACACAGACCCCTGCCCTGGCAGATCCCTGTCAGGATGCCAGTCTTGTTGGCAGAGGGACTCCTGGAGTCTAGGGGTCCCCCAGCTCCACAGCCCGGTCCCCTGGGCCGCTTTCCTGGTAGGGGTTTCCTTGGCCCGGCTTCTGCCTTCTCCACCTTCCCAACCCGTGCTGCCAGGCCCTCCAGCCAGGACCCTGGAGGAACCCCAAGCTGCGAGTATCTTTCCAAGGGCAGGGGCAGGGCTAGGCAGCCTTGGCCTGGGCTCAGGTAACCAACAGCAAAGCCCATCTGGGACATCCCACTGAAACTGCGGCAGGACGGAGGCCTGGGTGCAGTGGGTACATCAAGGCCTGGCGGGGCCTGGTGGGGCTCAGAGTGCTGCCCAGGGAATGGAGGCAGGGGCAGCACCACGCTGGCAGGAGGGCCCAGCAGTGGTTACAGGCAGCTCCCTGGATCACTGGGACGTCCCACCACACTGGGGGCAGGCCCGGTCACCCAGGACCCACACACATGGGAGGCGGTGAAAATGTTTTTGATGCCGGGAGAAAACCAGGCTGTCTCGGCCAGAGTGGCTGTCCTCTTCCTGGGGAGAAACCAAATGCTTCCTTGAGTCACAGGATGGGCACCTGGCTCCCCCCAGGGGGCAGGAAGCACGAAGAGGGGCGAGGCTGGCGTGGCACAGCAGCAGGACTGTGATCTGGACCCAGCTGTCCCTGCCTCCCCAGTGCCACCCATGGTGTCAGGCAAATGCTGCGTAATTGAAGGGAAGAAGGAAGGGACTTTCCAGCACCCGCGGACCACAGCAGCCAGGTCCCGGCCAGTTTACTGTGATGACCCAGGTCACCCAGAAAAGATGACCCATGTTCAGTGGGCACAGGCAAGCCGCGTGGGTGACACAGCCGCCATTTGAAAGAGGGCAGGGTGGTACACGTGGTGGGGGGGGCCACTGCTTAAACCCACAGCGCCATCTGCACCCCATATACTCACCCCGGCTGGCCTCCTGCAGTGGCACCAGGTATCCCCACGCGCAGCCAGCACCTTGATGGTGAGCCTGAGTGCTGGCCGCTCTGTGGGTGGCGCCCACAGAGGTG